AATAAATAAATAAATAAATAAATAAATAAATAAATAAATAAAATTCTAGTGGTTAACATATGGTGCAATATTGTTTTCAGGACTAGAATTCAGTGATTCCTCACTTACATACAACACCCAGTGCTCATCACAAGTGCCCTCCTTAATACCAATCACTCATTCAATCCGTCCCTCACCCACCTCCCTCCATCAACCCTCAGCTTGTTCTCCATGGTTAAGAGTCTCTTATGGAGGGCCCCTGGGTGGCTCAGTCGGTTGCACATCCAACTCTTGATTTCCGTTCAGGTCATGATCTCACAGTTCATGGGTTCGAGCCCCACATCTGGCCCTGCGCTGACAGTGTGAAGCCTGCTTGGGATTCTCTCTCTCTGCCCCTCCATCGCTTGTGTGCACACACGCACTCCCTCTCTCTCTCAAAATAAATAAAAACTTAAAAAAAAAAAGCCTCTTATGATTTGTCTCCTTCACTTCCCCCCCCCATATGTTCATCTGTTTTGTTTGCGAAATTCCACATGAGTGAAATCATACGGTATTTGTCTTTTTCTGACTTATTTCGCTTAGCATAATACAATCTGGCTCCATCCACATCACCACAAATGGCAACACTGCATCCTTTTGATGGCTGAGTGATATTCCATGGTATCAATACCACATCTTCTTTCCGTTCATCGGTCGATGGACATTTGGGCTCCTTCCATAGTTTGGCTACTGTTCACACTGCTGCTGTAAACATTGGGGTGCATGTACCCCTTTGATTTGGTATTTTTATAAACTTGGGGTAAATACCTAGTAGTGCAATTGCTGGGTTGTAGGGCTATTTTTAACTTTTCGAGGAACCTCCATACTGTTCTCCACAGTGGCTGCCCTGGTTCGCATTCCCGGAAACTGTGCAAGAGGGTTCCCCTTTCTCCACACCCTGACCAACATCTGTTGTTTCTTGTGTTGTTAACTTTAGCCAGTGCAAAAGGTGTGAGGTGGTATCTCATCATGATTTCGATTTGTATTTCCCTGATGATGAGTGCTGTCGAGCACCTCTTCATGTCTGTTAGCCATCCGGATGTTTTCTTTGGGAAAATGTCTACTCCTATCTTCTGCCCATCTCTTAACTGGATTATTCATTTTTGGGGTGCTGGGCTTGATAATTTCTTTACAGATTCTGGGCACTGAGCCTTTATCAGATATGTCATTCGCAAGCAATTTTAAAGCCTTCTGTCTTCCCAAAGCTGTTATTTCCTTGTTTCCATATTTCTCTCTATTGTTTTTCCAGGGTGCATTTGGGGCAGGAGGCAGAAACTGTGACCATTTATCACATTGGCAGGAACCAGAATTCTCCTGTATCTTGTTCGTCTTCACAGGAAGTCTCAGCATGAGACAGCAGCACTGGTTTGGGATGACTGCCAAAATGGGCACCGTGTTATCAGGGGTCTTTACCATCGTGGCCACCAACATGTACCTCATCTTCGAACACAGATACATAAGGAACAACAATTGCACTGATAACCACCTACTGAACAAGAGTGCAAGTGTCCTGATAAGCCAGTTCATCATCTGCTGGGCTTTCAATACGGTCTTCTTCCTGTCTTTCATTACCCTCATCATCAGCTGCTTCCTCCTGTACTCAGTATATGCTCAAATACACAGGGGCTTGGTGACCTACATCATCTGGATCCTTTTCTATGAAGCTGTAAACATTATAGTACAAATCTTTACCAACAATGACTCTGTCATTGAAGAGGTCAGAGTCATGCGCTGGTTTGGCCTGATGTCCCGTATTTTCATGCACTGCTTCTGGATATTCTATGTCATCTCCTATGCCCACATAATCTATAAAAGTCAAAGCCCAGGGAATATAATTTCCTACAACAGACGTATTTCGACAGGCAATGGAGAGTTCCTACGACGGAAATCAAAGATCGTCAACTTTACCCGACACTATCATGGATGATGTTTGCCCTTCTCTCCACTGATGGTGATTCTAGTTCCATCTCTTTCACTTTTGCTGATCTGTTCAGAATAGAGGCCCTACTGCCATCTTTTTGGGAGAAGTGGAGAGAAATGTAATTATAATCCCAATGGGGACCACCTGCTCAATCCATAAGGGCGTTTAGTGAAAGGCCATTTTTACTTGCCAAGCACTTCTTGGGTGCCTCCTTCGTTTTCTGGTCAGTGCCACCTTAGAGGTCAAAATAAAGAGGGTAAGGGAATGAAATGAAGCTAAGTTGCAGTCTGGCAATCCTTTCACCTTGTTATATACCTTCATCAGCCTTCGACCCACAGCTCTCTAATTCAACCCTGGGACACGGGCATATCTGTATTTATACCTCAGGTAGCTGTAGTGTAAGGGAGACTGGTGGTGTCTTGGGGTAGCTTTGTGCCATGGTCTTTCCCCCTCTGTCCTCTGTGCTATATTCCAGATAAATAAAAGAATAAAAGTAGAGAAAACCATTTTCCACTTTCTGTCTTGAGTACCCCCCTCCCCGAGATTTGTCAAAGAGTGCAAAATGCACTCGGTTAGCCAAAAGGTATTTGCTAAACTTTTCTGTGTCCATCACTATGCTGGACTTAGTAGAAGGATACAAAAAAAGTACAAGATACAAGGCCTGACCTTGAGGATTTTGCAGTTTAGTGAGAGAAACAAAACCACCGCTTACGGCTTAATAAGCTTAATAGCTTTCTTGAGGTATAATTGACATATAACAACTGCACATGTTTAAAGTACATAATTTGATAAGTTTTGACCTAAGTATATCCTGGTGACATCATCACAACTGAATTCCTAAACATATCACTCCCAAAAGTTTCCTCTTAACCCCTGCTCCCTCCCCTTCCTGCAGCACCCCCTACCATCACAAGGCACGGATTTGCCATCATTATCTACTAGGTTTGCATTTTCTAGAATTTTACATATATAGAATCATATAGTATGCACTATTTTTTTGTCTTCTTTCACTCAGCCTAATTCATCCATGTTGTTATGTGTATCAAGAGTTCATTCTTTAAGATTCATCCACGTTATGTGTGTTCAAAGTTCATTCTTTATCACTGAGTAGTATGCCATGGCATGAATATACCACAGTTTTTTAATCCATTTGCCCTTTGAAGGACATCTAGTGATTTGCAGTTTGGGGCAATTACAAATAGGAACACTATAAACATTTGTGGATAAGACTTTGTATAGACCTATGATTTCATTTGTCGTGGATAAATACAATTTTAACTTCTTAAGAAACTAGCAGATGTTTTCCCAGAGTGGTTGTCCCTTTTTATATTCCCACTAGCAGGGTATGAGAATTCTAGTCCCTCCACATCCTTGCAAGCACTTAACACAAACAATAAATTTTTCATTTTAGCCTTTCTAATGGGTATAGAGTGGTTCTCATTGTGGTTTTTGCTTGCATTTCTCTCATGACAAATGATGTTGAACATCTTTTTATGTGCTTATTTAGCATCCTTATATTTTTTTTGGTACGGTGTCTACTCAAATCTTTCATCTATGTTAAAAATTGAGGTTATTGGGGCACCGGGGTGGCTCAGTCGTTTAAGCGTCTGACTTCAGCTCAGGTCATGATCTCACAGTTTGTGGCTTCAAGCCCCATGAAACAGGCCTGGAGCCTGCTTCAGATTCTGTCTCCCTCTCTCTCTGCCCCTCCCCCACTCTCACTCTGTCTCTTTGTCTCTCAAAAATAAACAAACATTAAAAAAAACTTAAAAAAAAAATTGAGGTTATTGAGCACCTGGCTGGCTCGGTTGCTAGAGCATGCAACTTTTTTTTCGTTTTTTGAGAGAGAGAGTGTGAGCATGGGCAGGGTAGAGAGAGAGATAGAAAGAAAGAGAGAGAGAATCCCAAGCAGAATCCACACAGTCATAGTGGAGCCTGATGCAGGGCTTGAACTCACAAACTGTGAGATCATGACCTGAGCTGAAATCAGGATTTAGATGCTTAACCAACTGAGCCACCCAGACACCCTGAGCATGTAACTCTTGATCTCAAGGTCATGAGATCAAGTCTCGTGTTGGACATAGAGCCTACTTAAAAAAAAAAAATGAGGTTGTTTGTTTTTTTATTATGGAGGGGTTTTTGTTTTGTTTTGGTTTGGTTTTTTATTACTGAGTTTTGGAAGTTCTTTATATTTTCTGGGTACAAGTCCTTTATCATTTTTCTCCAGTTTGTGCCTTGTCTTTTCATTCACTTAGTGTCTTTTAAAGAGCAGAGATTTTCAATTTTTTAACTGAATTGAATTGAATTGAATTTGAGAGAGAGAGAGAGCAAACACAAATATGGGGGGTGCAGAGGGAGAGAGAGAAAGAAAGAGGGAGGGAGGGAGGGAGAGAGAGAGAGAGAGAGAGAGAGAGAGAGAGAGAGGGAGAGAGAGAGGGAATCTCAAGCAGGCTCTACACTCAGCATGGAGCCCAGGGGGGGGCTTGATCCCACAACCCTGGGATCATGACCTGAGCCAAAACCAAGATTCTGATGCTCAACTGACTGAGCCACCCAGGTGCCCTAAAGAGCACAGATTTTTAATTTCAAAGAAGTCCAATTTATCAATTTGTTCCTTTATGGCTCACATTTTTGGTTATCATATATAGGAAATCTTTGCTTCCCTCAGGATCGTAATGGTTTTCTCTTATGTTTTCCTCTAGAAATTTTAGCTTTCACACTTAGATATATAATCTCTCTCTCTCTCTTTTAAAGATTTTATTTTTAAGCAATCTCTACACTCAACGCAGGACTCAAAATTATAACCCTGAGATCTGCAGACTCTACCAACTGAGCCAGCCAGGCGCCCCTATATTCTCTTTTGAGATATATTTTTTTATATATGGCAAGAGATATAGATCAAAGTTCCCTTTTTTGCTCCTGGATGTCTAATTGTTCTAATACTAATTGTTGAATAGGTTGTCCTCTCTCTACTGAATTGACTTTATATATACACACACACCTATTTCTGAACCCTATTTTATTCCATTCATCTATTTGTCTATCTTTATGCCAATGTCATCCTGCCTTGATTATGGCAGTTTTATAAGTCTTTAAATCGCATTCCTCCATCTGTCTTATTTTGCAAAATTGTTTTGGCCGTTCTAGGTCCTTGGCATTTCCATGAACTTAGAATCAGCCTAAAATTTTTATTTTATTTTTTTTTTAATTTTTTTTTCAACGTTTATTTATTTTTGGGACAGAAAGAGACAGAGCATGAACGGGGGAGGGGCAGAGAGAGAGGGAGACACAGAATCGGAAACAGGCTCCAGGCTCTGAGCCATCAGCCCAGAGCCCGACGCGGGGCTCGAACTCCCGGACCGCGAGATCGTGACCTGGCTGAAGTCGGACGCTTAACCGACTGCGCCACCCAGGCGCCCCTAAAATTTTTATTTTAAAAAAATGCCTGCTGGGGATTTGATTGGGATTACATTAAATCTATACATCAAATTGGGGAGAACTGACATCTTAATAATATTGAGTCTTCTAACCCCTGAGAACAGCATCTCTCTTCATTCACTTTTCTTTAATTTCTCTCAGCAATGCTTTGTGGTTTCAACGCACGAGTCTTTCACATCTTTTGTTAGATTTATCTCTAAGAATTGTGTATATTTTATGCTGTTGTAAATGGTATTATTTCTTAAATTTCATTTCTGGTTGTTCGTTGTTAGGATATAAAAATAATTTTTTTGCCTATTGATTTTTTTTATCCTGCAACACTGTTAAACTCACGTATTAGGTAAAGTAATGTTTTTGTGGATCTTCTGTATACTCGATCATATGGTCTGCAAATAATGACAGTTTTACTTCTCCCTCTTCTTTTTTAAAATTTTTTTTAACGTTTATTTATTTTTGGGACAGAGAGAGACAGAGCATGAACGGGGGAGGGGCAGAGAGAGAGAGGGAGACACAGAATCAGAAGCAGGCTCCAGGCTCCGAGCCATCAGCCCAGAGCCCGACGCGGGGCTCGAACTCGCGGACCGTGAGATCGTGACCTGAGCTGAAGTCGGACGCTTAACCGACTGCGCCACCCAGGCGCCCCTACTTCTCCCTCTTCTTGCCTTACAGGGCTGGCTAGCACTTCCAGGGCAATGTTGAGTAGAAGCAGAGACGGGACGTTATTTTCTTTAAGATTTCATTTTTTAAGTAATCTCTACACCAGACATGAGGCTTGAACCCACAACCCTGAGATCAAGAGTTGCATGTTCCACCAACTGAGCCAGCCAGGCACCCTGAGAAAGGACATTATTGTCTTGTTCCTGATTTTAGAGGGAAAGCACTCAGTCTTTCTCTGTTAATAATGGTGTTAGTTGTAGATTCTTCATAGATGTCCTATATCATGTTGAGGAAGTTCCCTTCTATTCCAGGTTTGCTTAGGTTTTTTTAAAATCAGTAACAAATGCTTCATGTTGTCAAATGTTTCTTTCTACATGACATGATCATATGGTCTTTATTTTTTAGATTGTTAATATGGTAAATTACTTTCATATTATTTTCAAACACTAAGCCAAACATGATATTCCTGGAATAAACTCTACTTGGTCATGGTGTATCACCTTTTTTATATACTGTGGGATTAGATTTGTTCAATTTTGTTTAGAATTTTTGCATCTATGTTCATAGGAGATGTTTGTCTGTAGTTTTCTTATAACGTCTTCATCAGGTTTTGATATTAGAGTAATACTTGCTTCATAGAAAGAAGTATTTCTTCCTTTTCAATTTTCCTTAAGAGTTTATGTACACTGGTATTTATTTCTTCCTTAAATGTTTGGTGGGATTCAGCAATGAAGTTATCTGGACCTAGAATTTTCTTCTTTCTTTCTTTCTTTCTTTCTTTCCTTCTTTCTTTTAGAGAAAGGGTGCAAATGAGCAAGGGACAGCGAGAGAGGGAAAGAGAGAAAATCCCATGAGGGGCAGAGAGAAAGAGAGAGAGAAAGAGAGAGAGAGAAGCGGGGCTCACCCAAAGC